TTAAGGATGTGAACACATTCAGAAACAAGTTGTAATCAAACTTGTCATGATTGGTCTGTTCTACGTGTATTCTCTCTTGTCTATTCTATCTTATTTTTTGTTTCTCCTTGAAATTTTCTAGAAGGTCGGTAATTCCTACAAGTCATGACGGAAAACTTGACTTTACTGCTGAATTTACTGATTCAGTACTTGAGATAGATAAATTTACAAAATTTATGGCTAGAAAATATAAAAGAGCGAACAGATGAGCAAGGACCAGCTGTATGCTTGTATGAAAGCCGAAATCATGAGTACCCGCGTTATCTGTTGGATAATCGCATATTTTTGTATGATTTCAGGAAGCATTTTAGAATAGGACATGCTGGATTCTTTGTTGATCAAAAAAAATGGATGGCACTCTGAAAGATTGCAAACTGGAAAAGTCTGCGATCTGGACAAGCCTCTGGTCTTTTGAATTTTTTCCTTTTTTCTCTTTTGCGTATTTTGGTCAAAAGATTTTATTCTCTCAGTGTTTTTCAGCTATAAGCGTCTTCGAATTTGTGTGACTGTTTTTCAGTTAAATAAAATCCCCTATTGTTGGCGTTTGCTGATAGATGAACAAAAGTAAAAGTAAAGTCTAAGGGCTCAAATCATAAAAGTTAGGCTGTTCTGCAGCATCCCTGAGTTGAAATGACTCGGAAAGATTGCAGGTTCGGTTAGCGGTATATCCTCATGTGTGAGATTCTCCCTTAAGCCGTAGGATCATAATTGTGACGGTTTGAAAAAAATGGTTAGGGCGCCCAATGGGGAGATCTGTAAGACGGATTTGCTTCACACAGCGACTGTAGTATATTCAAGTGGCAGACCGGGCCAGATAGTTTGGCGGTGGCATCTCGAAATATACCTCGAGTTTGTTCGGTTGGCGTACGGCCGGGAACATTGGCGCATTCTTCTGAAGCTTATGCTTTCTAACCCTGAAGAAATGGCAGGCTTTGAAAATGACAGCCGTATACTAGGCAACATCGCAGGAATGGAATAGCTGATCCTCAGTACATTTAAGTGACTCATGACTCTTATTCATATCGACTGAAATCGCTGCCGGGAGTCTTAGGGTGAATGACAGTTTTTCTTCTTTTCTCTAACGTATGCCCTCTGAGAGGACTTCGCTGGTTTTTCGGTCTTTGGCCGTATCTTCGGACATTTCTCACAGTTTCACATAATTCTGTACGACGTCGCTCCGCTTAATTTTGCTTTCCCCATATTTTCTTCCTTCACAGTATCAGTGTTTGGACCTGCCTCTTCTGACCTACTCGTTGGATCTACTTTTCACATTGCCAAATTAACGGAACTTTCTTTTCATCAGCTTTTCTGTAATTCGCGCTACACGAAAAGTACCTCTTATGAAAGTATTTCTGATGTGGTTATTTGTGCCGTGTTATTTGTGCATGGGAATTTCTGCT